CTATCTGTCAGTATCCATCCATCCTTCATCCACTATCCATTCATCCATCCACTCTCCATCCATCCATTAATCCATTCACCCCCACAACCACACATCCACTTGTCCACCCATCCACCCCCCCATCCATCTATCATCCATCCATCCATCCACCCATCCACCCATCATCCATCCATTCATTCATCCATCCCATCCATCCCCCCATCCACCCATCATCCATCCATTCATTCATCCATCCCATCCATCCCCCCATCCACCCATCATCCATCCATTCATTCATCCATCCCATCCATCCCCCCATCCACCCATCATCCATCCATTCATTCATCCATCCCATCCATCCCCCCATCCACCCATCATCCATCCATTCATTCATCCATCCCATCCATCCCCCCATCCACCCATCATCCATCCATTCATTCATCCATCCCATCCATCCCCCCATCCACCCATCATCCATCCATCCATCCATCCACCCATCCACCCATCATCCATCCATTCATTCATCCATCCCATCCATCCACCCATCCACCCATCATCCATCCACCCATCCACCCATCATCCATCCACCATCCACCCATTCCCATCCATCCACCCATCCACACCATCCATCCATCCACCCACCATCCATCCATCCACCATCCATCCATCCATCCATCCATCATCCATCCACCCATCCATCATCCATCCATCCTCCACTCATGCATTCATCCTCCACTCGTCCACCCATCCATCCATCCATCCACCATCCACCCATCCACCCATCATCCATCCATCCATCCATCCACCCATCATCCATCCATCCATCTACCCATCCACCCATCCATCCATCCATCCACCCATCATCCATCCATCCATCCATCCACCCATCATCCATCCATCCATCCATCCACCCATCCACCATCCATCCATCCATCCATCCATCATCCATCCATCCACCCATCCACCCATCATCCATCCATTCATTCATCCATCCACCCATCCATCCACCCATCCACCATCCATCCATCCATCCACCCATCATCCATCCATCCATCCATCCACCCATCCATCTATCCATCCACCCATCATCCACCCATCCATCCATCCATCCATCCACCCATCATCCATCCATCCATCCATCCACCCATCATCCATCCATCCATCCATCCATCCATCCACCCATCCACCCATCCACCCATCCACCCATCATCCACCCATCCATCCACCCATCCACCCATCATTCATCCACCCATCCACCCATCCATCCACCCATCCACCCATCATCCACCTATCCATCCACCCATCCACCCATCCACCCATCATCCACCCATCCATCCATCCACCCATCCACCCATCATTCATCAATTCATTCATCCATCCATCCACCCATCCACCCATCATTCATCAATTCATTCATCCATCCATCCACCCATCCACCCATCATCAATCCACCCATCCATCCACCCATCCACCCATCATTCATCCATCCATCCTCCACTCATCCACCCATCCACCCATCCACCCATCCACCCATCATCCACCCATCCATCCACCCATCCACCCATCATCCATCCATTCATTCATCCATCCCATCCATCCACCCATCCACCCATCATCCATCCATCCATCCACCCATCCACCCATCATCCATCCATCCATCCACCCATCCACTCATCCACCCATCATTCATCCATCCATCCACCCATCCATCCACCCATCCACCCATCATCCATCCATCCATCCACCCATCATTCATCCATCCACCCATCCACCCATCCACCCACCATCCATCCATCCATCCCCCCATCCACTCATCCACCCATCATTCATCCATCCACCCATCCACCCACCATCCATCCATCCATCCCCCCATCCACTCATCCACCCATCATTCATCCATCCACCCATCCACCCACCATCCATCCATCCATCCCCCCATCCACTCATCCACCCATCATTCATCCATCCACCCATCCACCCACCATCCATCCATCCATCCCCCCATCCACTCATCCACCCATCATTCATCCATCCACCCATCCACCCACCATCCATCCATCCATCCCCCCATCCACTCATCCACCCATCATTCATCCATCCACCCATCCACCCACCATCCATCCATCCATCCCCCCATCCACTCATCCACCCATCATTCATCCATTCATTCATCCATCCATCTATCCACCCATCCACCCATCATTCATCAATTCATTCATCCATCCATCCACCCATCCACCCATCATCCATCCACCCATCCATCCACCCATCCACCCATCATTCATCCATCCATCCTCCACTCATCCATCCATCCTCCCATCCATCCATCCATCCATTCATCTATCCATCCGTCCACTCATCTGTCCATTCATTCATTCTCCATCCATCAGTCTATCCTCTTCATCCATCCACCCAACCATCCAACAGAAGGCAAGGCAACTCAGTTGACTCCCCTGCTTAAAACTCTCCCATGGCTCCCCAATTCACTCATAGTGACCCCCAACCCCTTGTCATAGCCCCCGGTCCTGCTTACCTACGTATGTCCTCCCATCTCTCCTTGCTCCCTCCACACTGAGTGGATCAGTGGTCTCCCCATGCTGGTTCCCAGTTCTGGGCCTGGCACCTGCCACTCCCTTTGGGCTGGCCCTCCTCTCATGAGCTTTTGCTGTGTCACCAGCTGCCCCAGAGCTCAGTGGAGTAAGGCACAGGCATTTGTTTTTTCTTATGACTCTGCAGGTTGGCTGGGGGTGAGGGTCTCCGGTGGCCTCATTCCCAGGCAGCTGGCTCAATGTCACCCTCCAGCACTTGGAGGTGGTCCAGGACTCTGAGAGCCACCAGAGACAAGCTCCAGGCACTCACACATTGTCAGTTTCTGTGTGCGTCACATTTGCTGACGTCCCATTGGCCACACAAGCCACCAAGGGCATGGGTGGAGGGAAGGACTTTCATAGTCTATCAGCACCATCAGTTCCTCTGCCCAGACGCAGCCACTGGCCTCCTGCTTGACCTACTGTATCCACGTGTATGCAAACACACACACACACGCATCCACTGTACACACGTGCATACCTTACATATAGTCCTCACTGCTTTCTGCATACACATGCCACCTCACCACGCCACCTATGTGGCAACTTACTCATGTTACGTGGCACTGTATCTTGGAGATAATTTCATAGAAATACACGTAGAAAGGTCTTGTTTCTTTTGACAATGGCATACTCTTCCATTCCAAGTTAATTTAAATTTAAATTTCCAAGGAACATGAATAGTTTTTAGCATAACTGTGTCCCATGCCCTATTTGGGACATACTTATGCTAAAAAAACCCCAATTCATTGCTTTTTGGAAATTCAGACATAACTGGGCATCCTGTGTTGGGTCCAGCAACCCTGCATCTGTCGAGCCAGGTCCTGTGGTTGGAGTTTGAGGGTATCTCCAATTTCTTGCAAATACAGAAATACTCCCCCTTCCAGTGGGAAGGGAGTGGTGTGCTCGTAGCGGGTACTTGAAGAAAGACAGGGGCAGGCAGGGCTTGCAGAGCAGGTGCTTGGTTTAGGGGACCAGTAAGAGAGGGGCAGGGGCTGCCCCGCTGTATGCATAGGGAGGAACCCCAGGCAGGAACACCCCACCCACCTGTCTCCCACCTCCAGTCCTCTGCCCCGGGGCACGGGTGCCCTTGATACCTTTATAGAGGTCAGGCTCCTTGAGAAGGGTGGAGCCTTGACCAACCACACAGAAAGTTGTACACACGTTGGTAGCCCATGGGCTGGTGCACGTGTGGGATAAAGTCCTAAAAATGGAGTTGCAGGTCAAGGCGTGTGCAGTTCATCATTTATAAACAAGTAGGCTTGTTTCTCTACACATTCGTTTAATAGGTCACCAAAACGTCAGCTTTTAGCAATTTTATTTTCCATTGATACAACCGAAGGTGACGTTAGTTGCTCTTGGAAAATGACAGATGGCAAATCATTTTTGATAATTTTACATTTTGACGAGGATCTTTCTGCTGATGCAATTGTTACTGGAGCTGTTAAGAGTACTTTATGGCTTGTGACAAACTTCAGGGTACATTTCTGCTAAGTTATTTCAAAATGAAAATTTTGGTACATGTATAAAAATAATAAATAAAAACCGAGGTAAAAGTCACATAATTTGGCAGTGTACAATTCAGCTGCATTCAGTACATTCAAAGGTTGTGCAGCCAACACCTGCATCTATTTCTAGAACATTCCATGACCCCAAAAGGAAGCGCCATCCCCATGCACAGTCACTCCTCATCCCCTGCCTTAGCCCCTGGCAACCACGAATCCACCTTCCATCTCTGGATTTGCCTGTTCTGGACGTTTCACAGACGAGGTGTGGGTTGGGCCACTCACTCAGCATCGCTTCGCTGTCGCCTCTTGGCCCCCCACCCCCATGGCAGAGTCGAGGCCCAGGAGCTCTGCGGGACATTTCTACCTCCTCTGGTCTCTCAGTATTGACTCTGAGGTTGTGCATTACCCTTCACGGGAACGGTCACTTGGACCAGGAGTCAGCACCCTTTTCCTGTAAAGGGCCAGAGATGTCAACATTTGTATCTTTGTGGGCAAGAGGGTCTCTGTCCCTACTGTTTGCCAGAGCCTGTGCTGGGTGTGGGGACACTGAAGTGAACGAGGTCACCACCCACATCCTCCTCGGCATATGTTCTAGAGGAACAGAAGATGATCATAAACAAGGGCAGACGGTTAAACAAACAGACATGATGGAGCCCCGGGAGGAGAAAACTGGGCTCCAGAGAGACAGAGTAACAGAGAAGAAACTCACTTAGCATCAGGTGACATTGAAGTTGAGCAAGTAGGTGGGGGAAGGGAACAGCAGGGGAGACAGCAGGTGCAAAGGCCCTGAGGCAGCCACAGGACAGCACAAAGGACTGGACCTGGGGTGGCAGAGAGCTTGGTGGAGAAGGGACAAAGTGGGGTATGTCTGGGCTGGTCTCTGCCTCTGCAGATGACCCCTTGTTCTCTCTTTCCCCCAGTACATGGGATGCATTGAAGTCCTCCGCTCCATGCGCTCCCTGGACTTCAACACCCGCACACAGGTCACCAGGTGAGCCTTTGGGATGGGGCTGTGGGGGCTCCAGTCTCAGCCCTGAATTGGGATATGAGACTTTGTGCCAGGGACCCGGGCACAGTGACCTCGGGGACAGCCCCCCCATTTCCCAGTGTGGAGAACAGGGTAGTGCAGGGTTAGGAATGGGCTTGGGTGGGTGCTTGGTGTCTGCATTTCAGTTCTGTCCCCGTCCGCCACCCACCACCATTACCCACGCTCTCCAGACCTTGGCTTTTCTCTGTACCATGGAGAGAACAGCCCATCCCGTCTCTCGCAGAGCGCCACGTGGGTGTCGCGAGGGGCGTTGGGAAAGGCCTTGCGTGTGGTGGGCCCAGCTCCCTCTGGGACCCCGTCCAAGGTGGGCTGGGACGGTTCTCCCTTGTCCCTGTACTGTGTTTCTGTGTTTGGCACAGAGAAGGCATGTTGATTTCAGGATGCTCTGAACTGTCTGGAATAGAGTCATGAGGAGTCATGGATACCACAGGGCTTAAGCCGGAGGGACTGATGTTCTTTTGCATATGAAAATGGATTTATTCCACTCACTGTAGACTAAAAATCTCTATTGAGATACAGTTCACATAAAGAAAAGTTCACCTATTTAAAGTGAATAGTCCAATGGTTTTTAGCATATTCACAGCATTGTGCAGCCACTGCCACTAATTCCAGAACATTCCAACACCCCAAAAGGAACCCCCATCCCCATCATCAGTCACTCCCATCCCTCCCCCAGCCCCCAGCAACCACGAATCCACTTTCTGTCTCTGTGGATTGGCCTGTTCTGGACGTTTCATGTAAATGGAGTCACACACTGAGTGGCCTTTTGTTTCTGGCATCCGTCACTGAGCGTGACGTGTTCCAGGTCCACCCATGTGGTAGCGTGTGTCAGAGCCTGGTTCCTGTTCATGGCTGAGTGACGTTCCACATGGAGCACGCTGTGTGTCCATTCATCCCTTGATGGACACCTGGGCTGTGTCCACCTCGGGTGATTACTCTGAATCCTGTTGCTGTGGACACGTGTGCACTTTTCCGTGTGGATGTGTTTTCATTTCTCTTGGGTGTGCCGAGGAGTGGAATTGTGGGGTCATGTGGTGACTCGATTTTTAACCCTTTGAAGAACTGCCAGCCTGATTTCCGCGGTGGCCCACCTTATGTCTTATGTTCCCACTTGCCCTTTGGGGTCCAGTCTCTCCAGGTGACACTGACATTTCTGAGAGCCTACTGTGCCCATCTGGCCTTCAGGACCCTGTAGCAGCTCCACCTCTCCCCCAGGAGAGGATCAGCAGACCACAGGGGTCTCTCTCATACAGTTTGGGGGTCCGTCCCTGTCGCCAGTGAGGGACCTCAGAGCACAGGTCATTCTTCCTGGGCTGCAGAGGGGACCTGACTCAGACTTGGGTCAGGCCCATGGGCCTCCTACCTGCTGTGTCCGACCCCCTGCATCCGAGCCCTGTGCCTTCTGCATGCACTGAGGCCCAGAGGCCCGGGGTGCCCTGGTCACTGAGAAAGAAAGAGTGGAGAGGGGCTGGAGCTGAGGGCAGGAGTATCTGCTGGGTGCAGACGGGGTGGAGGCTAGTGCCCCAGGCTGCACCCAGTCCACGCCTGGACCCCTTCCTCCCCTCTCTGACCCCTTTTCTCCTGGCCGTTCACCCTTCTTTGAGCTCCTGTCACCTCCCCACGGCGCCATGCCCTGCCCGAGCCCCTTCCTCTCCCTCACTTCCCATCCCCTCTGAGACACCTCCTGTTTCAGAGTCCTCCACTCTCTCTAAGCCCCCTCCTCTCCTTGGCCCCCTCCTGGTCCCCTCCCTGCCATGTCCTCTGAGCCCCCTCTCCCTGCGTCCCCCCCGCCCAGGGAAGCCATCAACCGACTCCACGAGGCTGTGCCTGGCATCCGGGGCTCCTGGAAGAGGAAGGTGGGTAAGGGGCTCGTGGTCTCCTGAGTGGGGCTGGTGGGGGCACTGCGGTAGTCTCAGGAGCCCCCCTGAGGCCCTCCCTCCCCAGGGCCCCAGCCCCCACTGCCCACGCACCCCCCAGGCAGGCCCTGCCATGCTGTGCCCCCTCCCAGGCCCCCAACAAGGCACTGGCCTCCGTGCTGGGCAGGAGCAACCTGCGCTTTGCAGGCATGAGCATCTCAATCAACATCTCCATCGATGGCCTCAACCTCTCGGTGCCCGCCACGCGCCAGGTGGGTGCTGCCCCACCTCAGCTCCCACCAGGCCCCCTCCTGGGGTCCCTGTGGCCCTTGAGATGGTCCCGGAGTCTTTGATTCACAGCCAGGAGGGTGGTTGTGGGGCTGCATGCAGCACGTGGCTCTCGGCACAAACACGTTTATCCAGAAATGTGTCCTGAGGGGTCCCCCACCCCTGCAAGCTGGGGCTCCCCTAGGCGATCCCACCCCCACAGTTGTCAGGGCTCCGGGATGGGGTGCCCCTGGCATGGAGCAGGTGGGGGCCAGAGATGGTGCTCAGCACCTGCAGTGCCCAAGACACCCCATCACAGAGAAAGATCCAGCCCAAGTGTCTACAGTGCCAAGGGGGAGGGAGCCTGGCTTCTGATCTTCTGATGGAAACAAACACAAAGCTTTAATTGCAGAAATGAGGGGTAATTACACATTCAGAGAAGCACTGTGGGGTCAGGCGGGGCTGTCCTGGCCATGGAGGGCACTGTGTCCTCCCAGAAGGGGCATCCAGGAGGGCTCCCAGGAGGCGGTGAGGAGAGGAGCGGGAATCTCAGCCGGAGGTCAGGCTGCCCAGAGGAGGTGTCTCCCTGTGGGAGAGGTTAGCACAGATCCTGGTGAGGAGCGAGGCTTCATCCAGAGAGCACAGGGTCCTGGGAAGTTTTAGGCTGCAAAGAGATGTGTTCTGATCTCTGTTTTCAAACTGATTGAGAGGCGTCAAGTCAGGCTGCCCAGAGGAGGTGTCTCCCTGTGGGAGAGGTTAGCACAGATCCTGGTGAGGAGTGAGGCTTCATCCAGAGAGCACAGGGTCCTGGGAAGTTTTAGGCTGCAAAGAGATGTGTTCTGATCTCTGTTTTCAAACTGATTGAGAGGCGTCAATGGGAGCAGGAGACCAGAGCCAGGCTGGAGCCGTGGCCCTGGGAGAGGTGGCCACGGTGGGGAACTGATGGTGTCCCTGGAGCGGGGGAAAGATGGCCAGGTGGGATGAATTTAGGAGGCACAACTGACAGGCTGTGCTGCGGATTCACAGGGAGGCTGGGAGAGTTTTGGATATGGCTGGGTTGCTGACAGAAGCCTCTGGATGAGTGAGGGAAGCAGAGCCCAGGGCAGCAGACGTGGGGAGGAGGCCAGTTGCAGGAGGGTCATCCACATGGATGGGGTGCTCGCAGGATGTTGAAATTTCTCATTTCAACCCATCCGGTGGTTGGCTTTCTGGGAGTTGTATCAGCTAGCAAGGCACAAGCTGCGTAATGAAACAGCCTGAAAGTTGTAGAATGTGTCAGAAAGTGTCTGTTCAGTGTGTGTGTCTGTGGGTGGGCCGTAGGGGCCGGCGGATGGAGGCATCTCTTGGCTGGTGGGTCCACCCCTCCCGTGTGCCTCTCCCATTCACGCAGGCTGCTTAGCGCCCGGCCTTGGGTTGGGCTCGATGACTCTCCCACCTCATTCTATCTGCAAGCGTACTTGCCTCCTGTTAGAGGGGACTGCAAAGTCACATTTTAAGGGCCTGGCTCCCTAGAGGGGTGAAAAATTGGGACAATAGGCAAACTATTACAGGAGCCGCCTATGGTGGGTGGAATTTGGCACTTTGGGCATTGGGGGTTCTATAAAGGACAGTTCAAGCCTATGCCTGGCCCCCAGCTGGCACTCACTGTCCACTTGGTAAGGAATGGGAACGTCGGGAACTTGGGAGGTTGGTGGGCTCGGGCCTTGCCCACACGTGAAGGCTGGGAGCCCACGCCATGGGATGGTGTGGAACAGGCTCTGCTGACCGCAAGGCTGCTGTGAGGACTCTGAGGGCGCCATGGCCTGGAGTTGGCATCCTGGAGGGCTTCTCAGAGGTGGTGATGCTGGCGCTGAGTGAAGAGTTAAGGAAAGGAATAGAGATCTGGTGGTGAGAGCACCGGGAGAGGAAGCTGGAGACAGTAGCAAGGACCGAAGAGAGGACTGTGGGGTTACCCAGAGAGCAGGGATCTGGGCCCTTTTAGGTAGCGAGGTGACATCTGACAGAGGGTGGCTGAGGCTGGTGGGAGCAGGGGCAGGAGGGGCCACTGGGCTCTGGGGCGGGTCTGGTGTGGGCACAGGTGGGAGAGGCTGCCAGGCTCTGGGGCAGGCTGGAGGCCACATGTCCATGCAGGTTCCATCTCCACATCAGCCCTGCAGACGAGGCCCAGATGTCACAGACAGGATCATTCAAGAGGGTCCTCCTCTCTGGGCAGGAGTCTGGCAAGGGGAAAGCCTCGAGGGTCCCTGTGGGGGGCTGAGGAGTGGACCTTCTGTGGGGACGACACATAGCTAGGCCGGTGGGGTCTCCTGGTGCAGGACCCATGGAGGGACTTGAGTGACGACAGCCAAGAAGGTGGGGCCATGCAAATGAGCGTGCAAATGAGCACACAGGTGCACTGGCACATGGAGGGTGGGTCAGGATCATAACGTGGGTCCCCTCCGTGGCCTCTTGAGGTGTCTGTGTGTGTGTTGGGGGGGGTGCAGATGTGTGTGTGCTGGGGCGTGTTGATGTGTGCATGTGAGCCTCTGGGTGTCCTCTCATGCATGTGTCTGTGTGATCCTGGGTGGAGCCCGCACACTCTTCAGGCCCTGAGTCCTGTCCTTGGTGGGCATCCACATCCCAGCAGGACTGTGGGTTGTCTGGATTGACCCAGGACCTGGCTGCCACGGGCACCAGCCCAGGGGACATCTCCGTTCCCACATCCCTCCCAGTCCCTTCCCAGTGGCACTGGTCCAGCCTCTGGGCCAGAGCCACAGGGTTCCCCTGCCCTCGAAGCGGGGCCCTGGTGACCGCCCCTGCCTCCCTGCCGGCTGCAGATCATTGCCAACCACCACATGCAATCCATCTCCTTTGCGTCTGGCGGCGACACGGTAAGGCTGGGGACTGGGGGAGGGGTGTCCCCAGCTGTCCCCTCAAGCCTCATGACCCTCTGGCCGTCCCTAGGCCCCACCTAAAGCACCCCATGCCCACACCCTTGGACCCCATCCCTCTGCATTGCTGGGGGTCCCAGTGACATCTCCCGCTGCCCCTCCTTCCAGGACATGACGGATTATGTGGCCTATGTCGCAAAGGACCCCATCAACCAGAGAGGTGAGGCCCCAGGGTGAGGCCTGGTGGGGCCCTGTGGCTGGAGGGGTCTCAGCTGGCTGTGCCAGGGGACGAAGCATAACAAACCCCACTCCCCAGCCTGCCACATCCTGGAGTGCTGCGAGGGCCTCGCCCAGAGCGTCATCAGCACTGTGGGCCAAGCTTTCGAGCTGCGCTTCAAACAGTATCTGCACAGCCCTCCCAAGGTGGTGGTGCCCCCGGAAAGGTAAGCAGACCTGGTCCTCCCCGTCTCCCAGGAGACACACCACGGCCACCTCTGCCCGCTGCCTGCCCATGCAGAGCCCCGTGCTCGCTGCCTACACACCTGGCTCTGAATCTGGGTCCCTGAGAATGTCACTGAAATGGAAGGATCCCCATTTCCTCCTCTATAAAACTGGGATAAAAACAGCTCCCACCTCCCAGGGTTAGGTGATGACAGAGGGGCCTGGTCGGTGCCGGGGGCTGTCAGTGGGTGCTGTTCTTACTAATATCACTATTCCAGACCGGGGACAGCAGATGCTCTTGCAAAGTGCCGGTTGATTTCTGTCTCTGCGCATAGGATGCATAAATGGGTGCCTATAAAACTTTATTCGTAGACACTGAAATTAGAATTTCATATAACTTTCACACGTCACAAAGTATTCTTCTTTGGATGTTTTCTCAACTGTTTGAGGGTTATGATTTAAAAGCGTAAAAACCGTTCTTGGCGTGTGGGGAGGACAAACAAGTACAGGAGGTGGGCTGGATGTTTCCAGCTCTAGAAAGAGGAGCAGGCTTTTTAAATGTCAACTGTGATTTGCTTGTCCCCTCCCAACTGAGGGGCAGGCAGGCTGCTTCCCCTCTGTGCTCTCGGGAACCACACCTGCCGGCCCCTGGAGGATGAACTGTCACAAGCACAACCTCGGGGCGGAGAGTGAGGGTGTTTTAAAGCTGAGGGCTAACCCCATGACATCCGGTTCTGGGGACAAACTGGGCGCCGGCCCTCAGCTGCCTGGCGGAGCCAGAGGTGGGCAGAACAGATCACAGTCCAGCGTCACCGGGACCCGCCATTAATGTGTGCAAAAACCCTGGGAAATGTGCAATGTCGCATTTCACGGATGAGGAAAGGGCCCAGTTAGTCGCTCAACTGGCATCTCCCGGTGGGAAGGCTCAGCTGATAGGTGGGGCCGGGATTCGAACTCAAGCCTTCTGTTTCCAGAAGCTCGAGCCACGAGGCCTCGGCGCCCCCTCGGAGCCCCAGGCTCTACCTGTTCCCCGCCCCACCGTGTGCTGGGGCCCCTCCCTGTGGGACAGCCTTGCTCTCTGTCCCTCAGGCTGACCGGGCAGGAGGAATCGGCCTGGGGGGACGATGACAAGGACTCAGATCACAGTTACTACAACAGCATCCCAGGGAAGGAGCCACCCCTGGGGGGGCTGGTGGACTCCAGGCTGGCCCTGACTCAGCCCTGCGCCCTCGGAGCCCTCGGCCAGGTCAGCCCTTGTTGTGGGAGTGGGACGGGGGCAGGGACGTCCCCAGCTGCCCAGTCCTTGGACCTTATCTCAACTTCTCCTTCTGCTCCTGTTCTCCCCGATCCTAGAGGAGGGTCTCCTGGCTCCCCCACCCTTCATTCATCCATCCGTCCGTTCACAAAGATGTCCACGTGGGCACCGTGTATCTGCCAGGCCCGTCCTGGACACATTAGGCAGCAGCGCAGCGTTGCAGACACGAGTCCCACCCCCCGACGCTTAGTAAATGCATACGGCAATGATTTAATCATGGCTGTGATGAGAATGTACAGCAGGGACACTGGCTTTGTGGGGCGGCCAGGAAGCAGCGTTTGGGCTGGGCCTTGACAGGTGAATGGGAGACGCCAGGACAGCAGTGCAGGGAAGGGCATCCAGGAGAGGGAACAGAGTGTCCAGGTGGCAGGAGGGAGGCCGGTGAGGCTGCAGCAGAGCTGGGCAGTAGGGAGCCGGGGAGGGGTTTAGAGCGGCCCTTCCCACCCTCCTTAAGTCTGCAGTCACTCAGGGGGGCTGGGTGGGGAGACTGGGGGTGCTGGGCCGGGAAGAGGGGCTTGCACATGCCAAGGGGACCCTGCACTGCTCTTTTTCAGGGTGCATCTCTCGCTCGAAGAGACGCCCGTGGCCTGCAGTGGGACCTGGGGCCCTCTGGTACAGGTAGGATGGGCTCAGGGCCCCAGGGGTGCCAGCCCCTCCCCACGAGGATATCTGGGGCCCCCCAGCCCCACCCCCACTGCCTCCCTTCTCAGGCTTTCCCTTCCGTGTTATTTCACTTCAGCTACAAGGCTGTTCTTGAGATTCAAATAATCAGTTTCTTCTTTTTGTGGACAGACAAGTTTTGTTGCATTTTGGGGGGACAGATACTGCAATCACATGGTTCAGACACCAAGAGGTGTAACAAGGTATCTGGTGAGAATTTCTCTAAAGTTCTTCCTGTGTCTGCTTCAACTACCTTCCAGACCAAGCAACCACCACTAGCAGTTGGGGGCTTCTAGCTATTTTCCTGGAATTTTCCACGGATATTCGAGGCAGTTCAACTATGTGTCCCTTCCTCCGTTCTTTCAGAGGGTGGCGTGTATACACACGTGTTCCACCTTGCCTCTTCCATGTGACCCTCCATCCTGGGTCCTTCCACATCGTGCACGCCGGCCTTCTGCAGTGTTTGCACCACTGCGCAGTGCCCCGTCGTATGCAGGAGCATCACTGATTTCACCTGCCACCTACTCCTGGGCATGTGGGTGGATTCCACGTGTTTGCTAGAAATAACAGTGGTGTGACGAGTGACCTCGAATGTTCACCAGCCTCGGATATCACACCCCAGCGGAGCAGCTGCTTGTGGCACTTGGGTGGAAACCCCGTCATTGCCCTCTCCACGGACATCCCACCAGGAACTGCGAGCTTTGGTTTTGACAAAACGGTCCTGTGTTCAGTCCACGCACATTCCTGTGTCCTGATATACAAGACGAAAAATGACAGAGGAGGCTAAAATCCCACGCTGGGGCACATCCCTCTGGGCACTTCTGTGTCTCCTTTCAGACGTTTTACAAATAGCGCACAAATAAATCATCACGCGCGCGGCAGCGTGCTGCGGACACCCTTCTGGTGCTGTCTGTGTCCCGTGGGTGCCTCGGCTTCTTGCTATGCCAGCACCATCTTTTGAACAGCTATGTGCCATTCCCCATCCTGCTGTCTGCCCACCTGCGGGGTCTCCTGCTGGTGGGCACTGGGGGTCTTCCAGCTCTCTCTGATACAGCACAGATGTTCCTCGTGCTGTGGAATTGCTGAGGTGTGGTGCACCGACATGAATCGCGTTGCCCGGGGCCGCTGATCCACTCTCCAAAGTGGCCGTGCCAGTTGGCGTACCCACCAGCTCTGCCTGCAGCCGCCTGATATTTCACAATCTCGCTAACATCTGTGTTGAGCTTTTTTTAGATCTTCCCAAATAATCTGGGCATTTCACTGCCAAGCATCAGAACACTCGTTTCCCAGCGCCTGTTATTAAAGAAGACCTGTATCATCTAGTGCCCACAGGTGCCAACCTGAACTCGGGCCCTGGTCTCCTTTTTCTCTGGGGCGTTGGCTGCTTAGTCCCCACCTAAGGGCTCAGCAGCGTCTCCTGCCCCTGTGCTTTTGTGCATGCTGCTATCACTTCTTGTCAAGCCTTTCCCAGTTCTCTGGCCAAGAACTCTTACCAATACATCAGTGCCCGGATCCGATGCCCAGGAATCCCACCACCCATCTGCCCCATGCTCTGTCCTCTCTTCCACCCTGGACTCCTGCAACCCAGGCCTCTCCCCTCTCACCTAGCCCTGGCCATCGAGCAGGGGAGAATCTGTACCCCTCTCGGCAGCCTGGGAAGGCTGGGCCGAGATCCCTGTGCCCCTCATTAACCACCCAGGGCTGGTGCAGTGATAGCATTTCTATTGAATCACAACTTTTGCCAGATACTGTTCTAGGTTTTCAGTTCTCACCCCTGTTTTATGAAGAAGCTTTCACTCTCCCCATTTTATAGAGGAGGAGACTGAAGCACAGAGAGGAAAATTACCTCGTCCACGCTCACAGAGGGTGGAGCTGGGACATGAGCCCAGGTATCTCTGAGGGCTGATGAAATAATCGGCATAAAGCAGAGATCACTAACTGCAGGCCCTCGGGCAGAATTTGGCCACACAGTTATTGAAAGAATCGTGACTTCCCTGCCAAGGATTGAGTTCTGGGAAAAAAGATACATGAACGCCCTTTGAACCTAGGAAAAGATTCTCAACCTTGCACCAAGCAATAGAAATAGCCATTGAATTACCCAGGATGCTATTTCTCAACTATCAGGCTGGCAAAAATATAACAGTCTGTAACATGCCAAGGGGTCCCAGGCATTCCGCCACCCACCGCAGGGCAGGCACAAATTGGTCAGGACCCAGCAGAATCCAGAAGGGGCATCGAGTGGACTGAGAGAGACTCCTCCAAGAACACCCTGTAATGCAGCTGTGGTTTGTGAACCACGTCGATGCTTTACACATTCAAAAATAAAATTAAAAAAAAAAAAAAAAAAGAAAGCAAACTCTAAAATAGAACAGAGACAGAATAGATGACATAACTATGGATCATGCTGATAACTCAATTATAGGGAGAGCAAAGCTATTGTTATTATTTTTTAAGCGTGAAGATTTAACATAAACATGGGGCATTCTGGCCTCTTTCAAAAGCCGGGAAGCTCTGTCCCTGGGTCACCCTCTTTCCCGGTGGACGGTGGCCCACAGCACCCCCGCCCCGCGTGCTGTATTCACTGTGGCCCTGCTGAGGGCATTTACGCGGCTTTTCACTCCTGATGGAGGACGTCGTGATGATGTGTGGGTGGGGCGCCTAGTAGGACCCTGTCCTCTCCCTCGTGCAGGGCCTTGTCCGGGGGAGTCCCTCATCTGGGCTGCCTCTGCTAACCCTACACCCCCTCCCTACCCTCTGCAGCTCCGCCAGGGGACGGCTACGTGCAGGCAGATGCCCGGGGCCCCCAGGACTACGAGGAGCACCTGTACGTCAACACCCAGGGTCTGGACGCCCTGGAGCCTGAGGATGCGGTGGCCCTCCAGTTGGAGGACAGCCCCCAGAAGGACCTGTTTGACATGCGTATGTGGGGGCAGGTGGACCGAGGGGACAGCCTTCCCCGGGGAGGCCTGTGGTCGATGGGGGAGGCCCAGCTTTGTCCTGCAGGACTTGCCTGAGGTGCTAGGCTGAGACCCGACCCCTGTCCTGTGGAGCTCCCAGGATGCTGGGGGGCCCTCCCTACTGAAGACCCTAGTCCAATGGGGACGCCTCATCCATCCCTTTCCTGTGGAGCTCCCAGGATGCTGGGGGGGGCCCTCCCTACTGAGCACCCTAGTCCAATGGGAGCACCTCATCCATCCCTTCCTGTGGAGCTCCCGGTATGCTGGGGGGGCCCTCCCTACTGAGCACCCTAGTCCAATGGGGACGCCTCATCCATCCCTTTCCTGTGGAGCTCCCAGAACGCTGGGGGTGCCCTCCCTACTGAGCACCCTAGTCCAATGGGGACGCCTCATGCATCCCTTTCCTGTGGAGCTCCCGGTATGCTGGGGGGGCCCTCCCTACTGAGCACCCTAGTCCAATGGGGGCACCTCATCCATCCCTGTCCTATGGAGCTCCCGGTATGCTGGGGGGGCTCTCCCTACTGAGCACCGTAGTCCAATGGGGGCACCTCATCCATCCCTTTCCTGTGGAGCTCCCAGGATGCTGGGGGGGCCCTCCCGGGGGGCCCTCCCTACTGAGCACCCTAGTCCAATGGGGACGCCTCATGCATCCCTGTCCTGTGGAGCTCCCAGGATGCTGGGGGGGCCCTCCCTACTGAACACCCTAGTCCAATGGGGGCGCCTCATCCATCCCTTTCCTGTGGAGCTCCCAGAACGCTGCTGGGGCCCTCCCTACTAAGCACCCTAGTCCAATGGGGGCACCTCATCCATCCCTGTCCTATGGAGCTCCTGGTATGCTCGGGGGGCTCTCCCTACTGAGCACCCTAGTCCAATGGGGATGCCTCATCCATCCCTGTCCTGTGGAGCTCCCAGGATGCTGGGGGGGGCCCTCCCTACTGAGCACCCTAGTCCAATGGGGACGCCTCATCCATCCCTGTCTCCTGTGGAGCTCCCAGGATGTTGGGGGGCCCTCCCTACTGAGCACCCTAGTCCAATGGGGGCACCTCATCCATCCCTGTCCTGTGGAGCTCCCGGTATGCTGGGGGGGCCCTCCCTACTGAGCACCCTAGTCCAATGGGGGCGCCTCATCCATCCCTTTCCTGTGGAGCTCCCAGGATGCTGGGGGGCCCTCCCTACCTAACACCCTAGTCCAATGGGGGCGCCTCATCCATCCCTGTCCTGTGGAGCTCCCGGTATGCTGGGGGGGGGCCCTCCCTACTGAGCACCCTAGTCCAATGGGGGCGCCTCATCCATCCCTGTCCTGTGGAGCTCCCGGTATGCTGGGGGGGCCCTCCCTACTGAGCACCCTAGTCCAATGGGGGCGCCTCATCCATCCCTTTCCTGTGGAGCTCCCAGGATGCTGGGGGGCCCTCCCTACCTAACACCCTAGTCCAATGGGGGCGCCTCATCCATCCCTTTCCTGTGGAGCTCCCAGGATGCTGGGGGGCCCTCCCTACCTAACACCCTAGTCCAATGGGGGCGCCTCATCCATCCCTTTCCTGTGGAGCTCCCAGGATGCTGGGGGGCCCTCCCTACCTAACACCCTAGTCCAATGGGGGCGCCTCATCCATCCCTTTCCTGTGGAGCTCCCAGGATGCTGGGGGGCCCTCCCTACCTAACACCCTAGTCCAATGGGGGCGCCTCATCCATCCCTTTCCTGTGGAGCTCCCAGGATGCTGGGGGGCCCTCCCTACCTAACACCCTAGTCCAATGGGGGCGCCTCATCCATCCCTTTCCTGTGGAGCTCCCGGTATGCTGGGGGGGGCCCTCCCTGGGGGGGCCCCTCCCTACTGAGCACCCTAGTCCAATGGGGGCACCTCATCCGTTCCTTGAAAGAATGGCTAGTATGATGGGGGAGTCTGAGGTCCCTCTTCTATGGGACTGTCCAGTTGACATGGGAATCCCTGGGATTTCATGGCTTGAGAGAGGAGGCTTAGTCTTTTCTTGGTAGGACTGCTTAGTCTTGGGGGTGCCCTGAAGCCTGCTTCAAAAGACAGCTTAGTCTGTTGGGGGCGGCCTAGCTCCCTACCTCCGGGGCTCCCCAGTCTGATGAGGGAATTTAAGCTTCTCACGTGACTCCATGGTCTGAGGAGAGAGGTCCAAACTCCCTCCTACAGGGATCTCAGCCTGCTGGGGGAGACACAGTTTGCTGCTGGAGGGGCGTCCAGTCTGATGAGGGAGGCTTAGTCCACACTTTGGTACAGTGACTGGTCTGATGGTAGAGCCCATTCCCTTCCTTCCTTACGGGATGCCCCAGCCTGAGGGAGGGCCCATTCTGACGGAGGAGGCTTGTCCTCTTTGCCTGAAGTGTCCAAAATCCTCTCGTTATCTCCCACATCAATCCCATCTTCTTCCCTGAACACACGGCATTGGCTCCATGCTGGCTCAGGCAGGGTCACCCCAGCCCTCAGGACACCTCCCCAGTAAGAGGTTCCCAAGGGCCTCCCAAGCTCCTGGAATTTCCTTGACGAGGTTTGCAGAGACCCCATCCCTCTGCACCTGACGATACGGTTCCTTCTCGTGAACGTACGTGAGCTAGTACCTACGGAGCACTACTGTGTACCAGGCACTGGATAAGAGCTTAGGCCCCTCGGCTCCTCACAGCAGTGCTCAGATAGGAAAGGAGGGGTGTGGGGGGCAGGCTGTCCCTCCCGGGTGACCAGATGGCCCAGCAGCCCCAGCTGAGCAGCCCCAGTGGAGAAAGTTGCTTCTTGCCAGCCCTCCATAAAAAATCCCAGGGTTGCTTCTGATTGGCCTAGCTGGGGTCATGTGCTCACCCCTGAGCCAATCCCTGGCTGGGAGGGTGAGATGAGTATGCTGATTGGCCACACCTGGTTACCTGTTGCTGGGGCTGGAGGTGGGTGGGCCTCAGCGTTGGGGAGGAAGAAGGTTCTGCCAGCACGGAGGGACCAGTTGGCGCACATGCAGCGAGCACGCGGCATGTACACGGCGAGCACACAGCATGCACACGGCAAGCACATGGCGTGCACACACACAGCAAGCACACGGTGTGCACACAGCAAGCACATGGTGAGCACACAGCAAGCACATGGTGAGCACACAGCGAGCACATGGCATGCACACACACAGCAAGCACACGGCGAGCACACAGCGTACACTCTGGCTGAGCTCAGTGCAAGTTCTGATGTGCAGTCGGGGCTCAGTCAGTGTTGGTTGAACAGGTCACATCCAGCCCAGGGCTCCTCTCTTCCTGCCAGGCTCTTGTCCCAGTGGGAAGCAACTGCCCAGCCACCTGCCTCCCCCACAGTCCCGTCCTCTGCCTGCAGGACCCTTCGAGGATGCCCTCAAGTTGCATGAGTGCTCGGTAGCCTCAGGAGGGACAACAGTCCCCCTTCCCTTGGAGGACCAGTGGCCCAGCCCTCCCACCCGCCGGGCGCCCATTGCCCCCACGGAGGAGCAGCTGCGACAGGAGCCCTGGTACCACGGCCGGATGAGCCGGTGGGCGGCAGAGAGACTCCTCCGTGCTGATGGGGACTTCCTCGTGCGGGACAGTGTCACCAACCCCGGACAGTACGTCCTCACGGGCATGCACGCAGGGCAGCCCAAGCACCTGCTGCTGGTGGACCCCGAGGGCGTGGTAAGGTGGGCACGTGTGGGAGGGCTGAAGCCTTCAGGGTTTATGAAGCATTTTCTAGATCACTAAGCCCTTTATGTTTACAGACTCTGTTCTCCTTTAGGAGCTACTGTAAAATTACAAAGTGTTTTCCAGTGTAAAAAGAATTTTAGGGCTTACAAAGCATTTCCCAGTCTATAAAGCATTTGGGGACTTACAAACCTTTTCCAGCGTCAAGGCCTTTCAGGGTTTACAAAGTGCCGTATTCTGTCCACTGTGAGATGTGCTTTCTTCCTACATTGATCCTCACGAACTCATCTCACACACGGGTGTCTTTGAGTGATAATGTGGCATTTTCAGTGTCTAATGTATTTTAGTGTTTACAAAGCATTTTTCCAATTTACAAGGAGTTTTGGGGTTTCTGTGGCATCTTTGAGTGTCTGAGGGCCTTAGGCTTTACAGGTTATTTTCCAGGTGAGAAGGTGTGTGTGCATTGGCAGGGAGGAGTTAGGCACCTGCATTTACAAAGTGCTTTTCTGCTGTCCGGCCGAATCCTCAGAACAGCTCCCTGTGCCTGTGCGTGACCCTTGTCTCTGTACTGGGCCCACTCAGGAGCTGGGGGCTGGGCACCCCGGCCCAGCTCCGGGTGCCTGCTCTTCAGGTCCTTGCACACTGCCTAACCCTGGCCTGGCGTGTCATAGGCCAGTTCTTCCCAGGCCGGATTCCCTCTTCATTAAGTGGGTCCTGCCATTAGATGGGCGAGTCCTACACTGGGGAAGTTTCAGAACATCTACCAATACTTTGCTCAAATGCAGACTCCCAGAGCCATGCTGCTGCACCAAATGACCATAAGCGAAATGGCTCAAAACAACAGAAATTTATTCTTTCACAGTTCTGGAGTCCAGGGGTCCAAAACCAAGGTGTGAGCAAGGCTGGTTCCTTCTAGAGGCTCTGAGGGAGAATCTGTTCCAGGCCTCTCTCCAGCTTCTGGTGTTGCTGGCAGTCCTCGGCGCTCCTTGGCTCATAGAAACATCTCCCTGATCTCTGCCTCTGTCTTCACACAGCTGTCTCCCCGTGTGTCTCTGGGTCTAAATTTTCCTCTTCTTATAAGGACACCAGTCATTAGAAGTGTGGCCCCAGAATCCTGCTAGTTTTGGAGCATGTGTCCATCCCTGGGTCTGGAATTCTGAGGCTGATTCTGTGGTTGAAATCCTGGCGTCCTCATCAGAATCATACGGAGGGCTTGTGAAAAACATTTGCCTTTCAGCAGGTCTGGGGCGAGCTCCCAGTGGTGCTGACGCCGCGGTCTCTGGTTCCACAGGTGCGGACGAAGGACGTGCTATTCGAGAGCATCAGCCACCTGATCGACTACCACCTGCAGAACGGGCAGCCCATCGTGGCCGCCGAGAGCGAGCTGCACCTGCGTGGCGTGGTCCCACGGGAGCCGTGAGCCAGGTGTGTGGGGGCTGTGCTGGGCACCCAGCATCTGCCCATTCGTGAGATGTTTCCTCATTTAAAAAATTAAGATACAATTCACCTACCGTATAGTTCACCCGTGTAGAGTGTACGACTCAGTGCTTTTTAGAGTTTTCACAGAGTTGTGCAGCCATCACCAAAGTCTGGTTACAGAACATTGCATCCCCCAAAAGGAAGCCCCGTGCCCATCAGCTGTCACTTCCCATCCCCTCCCCAGCCCCCAGCAACCACGAATCCACTTTCTGTCTCTGTGGATCGGCCTGTTCTGGACATTTCGTGTAAACGGAGTCACACACTGTGTGGCCTTGTGTGTCTGGCGTCTGTCACTGAGCGTGACGTGTTCAAGGTCCATCCACGTGGCAGCGTGTGTCAGAGCCTGTTCCTGCTCACGGCTGAGTGATGTTCCATTGTGTGGATGGACCGCGCCGTGTCTGTCCGTTCATCTGTGCGTGGACACTTGGGCTGTTTCCACCTCTTGGCTGCTGTGAATAGTGCCGCTGCGAACTCATGCACAGATTTTTGGGTGGACGTGTTTTCATTGCCCTTGGGTGCGTCTGTACCTAGGAGTGAATTGCTGAGCTGTTATGGTAACTTTGTAATTAACTGGTAATAAAAATCACCCCAGCTGGGTGCTGGACGGTCAGGCTTTCTTCCCAGAGGAGGCGGCGGGGTGGGGTGTGGACCAGGTGGGTGGGAGAACAACAGGCAAGGCTGGGGGATTCCAGGGTCTCCCTAGTGAGAGAGGGGGCTCTGGTTGAGGTGGGGGCCAGGCAGCAGAGGCTGCAGCCGTGGGGCTGGTGGGGGGTGTGGGGGGACAGAGCATTGGGAGGAGGGAGAGATGGGGCTTGAGGACGGAGGGCCCTGCGGGGGGAGGGGGCTGTGGAATTTCCCCAGGCCCAGCTCCTGTTCCCATGACAACGGTCTCCTTCCTGCCTCCTCTTTCCTGGGCACGGCCCTCCCCCCGCGGCCGGCCTCCTCCCTGCCCCCAGCCAGGCAGTGGGTTGCAGGCAGAGAGGGGCTTCTCGGCTTCAGAGATGGGGAGTGGGTGGTCCTACCACACACCCCAAATGACCTGCAAGGCAGTGGGTCTGGGTGTTCCTATGTGCCCGAGGTTCCTGCTTCCTTCCCATCCCTAAAAGGGGGCTGTGATCCAGGAGGCGACACCGATGGCGGTCACAGTACCTGCTCGCACGCAGTTGGTCCATCCCAGGAACAGGACGCGCACATTTCTGAGATGGGCACTGGGTTAGCAGGCTGCGTTCACTGCATAGCCCAGAGAGGTTAAGGCACTGCTCTAGGGCACACAGCAAGGACGTGGGGGACTGGAGAGAGACCCCACCAGCTGCTCCACCTGAGGGGCCCCTTGCTGGGTCTCTTTGCTGCTCTGTAATGGAAGTTTGAAGCTCTTGGAGATAAAAGCTCCTTTTGATCAGACGAGGCAGAGAGGTGGATGACTGTACTTAGGCCCTGGTCTCCCGGTTGCCCTCTCTATGGCCTGTGACTTTCCTTCCCTTTCTGCCCACAGGTGACATCTCTCAGCCCCTGGCTCCTGCCTCCCTACACCCCCGTCATGGCCTTACGGGCTCTCGGCCAGTCTCTTTCGGACCCTGGTCAGGCCAGAACCGCCGCTGTCTCTCCTTCCTCCGCATGAACCTCTGGGATCTTCCTTCCGTGAGCTGGCCCGGGCTGGGCAGGGCCACCAAGGCCCAGGGGGACCCCTTCTCCCGCCGGAGCCCCCGCCCGCCCCCACCCTCTGCCTGGAGTGAGGGTGCACGTACCAAAGACAGAACCTCTTCTCGCCTTTCAAGAAATATTTCAAAAAGCAGCCCTATGTGTAGGAGCCGTGGCCTTCAGGTCCCTCCCGGACCGGACTTCAGTATCTGTCCCTGGAGATGTGACGGTCCCCAGTTCCCCGTGTGGTGATGGGTTCCTATCCCAGCAGGGCTCAGTTTTCCCACCTGAGAAATCGGGTGCACAGTTGTCCTTTTTGGGGGGGAGAATTAAGGTGCTTTGGGGATCTCAGGCCGGGGAACAAGCTGACATTGGACCGGGGCAGCGTTGGGGTTCACCTGGGATGAGGGGGGCACCCAGGCCCCTCCAAGGGAACTGCTTGGTTGGGGGAGGCAATTGTGAGCCCCCACCCCACCCCGGGTACGGGCCTGGCTATGCCTGCCAGCTTCCCCCGCCCTCCCAGCTGCTGACCCGGACTGGACATTGAATCTGTTTGTAATTAAACCTGAGAATTACCACAAGGCACATGAGCCCACCGGCGCATTCAGGGGCCCTCGTGGGGTGGATGGTCTCCCAGGTGGGAGGCTGTGGGGGAAGCTCAGAGGGACCTGGGCTTGGCCTCCCTGGAGGAGGGAGGGGTGGGGTGGGGGCAGCGTGTGGGGCGATCCCTCGCTCCCCACAGCACCCAGTATCCCTCTCAGGTGCCCCTAGTTGTATCCCAAGATAAAGCACATGTCAACTTGTCTATTAAATACACCCAACTTCTCTTTGGAGACACCCTAGTGTATCTGCCAAACGCTATAACGGCTCTCTTTCAAGATCCTACAACATACCTGGCAAAAGCTCCTTGTTTCCTTCTCCAAGATGCTCCCAACTTCCCCTAAATAGGCCTGATGCCTGACTTCTCAGGTGTCCCAACATCTCCACCCTTTCTCGAGAAGTTCTCCTCCGTGCCCCTACACCTCTTCGATGCCCAGATTCGTTCTCAAGCACCCCAGCTTCTATCCTTTACCTTCCCTGGTGTTATTTCTGAGCCTCTGCCTCCCAGAGAGACCCCCACTTCCCCCCAGGACCCTCCTCTAGCTCCGCCCACAACTGTCGTGGCCTGTCTCTCAAAGAGGCCCCCACCCTCGCCACGTACCTGCCTGGCCACACTGCCCGGGGCTGAAGACAGAGGTTGCCCACGGCCTGGATCCCTGGAGAGGGCTGTGCTTTCTCTGCAGTCAGCGACCCTCCCTTTGCCCTGAGGGGATGTGTCTGGAAGGGCTGGGGAGTTAGAGCCACTCTGGTCTGCCCTTAACTAGGAGAGAAGCCCTCAGAAGGTAATGCCAGAGGGGACTTTAGTGCCATGTCAGTTATTTCAGAGACATGGAGTCTGAGAACCAGCAACCCACCTACCCATCACCCACCCATCATTAACCCATTGGTCCACCCACCCACCCACCCATCCGTCTACCCCCTCTAACATCCTGTGACACGCCTGCATCAAACACCTCCTATCTGCCAGGGCCTCCAGTGGACAACAGGGTTGCAACCGTGACTAAGACAGACCTGCCCTTATGGAGTTAACAGTCGAGTGACATTAATCAGCAAACCACCATGAAATGCATAATGACAACTGTGAACAGGAGAGAGTCCTGCAGCTTAGAGATCCCAGGAAATCCGGGAGGGTTTCTTTGTGGCAACGACACAGTGCCTGTGCTGGGAGGACGCATGGGAGAGCCCCAGGTGAAGACGGTGGAGTCTGGGCAGAGGGGAGGACCCGTGCAAAGGCCCTGTGGCATGTGGAGCCCAGCACATTCAGGGGATGCACAGCTGGCCAGTGTGGACAGCATAGGACTGGGAGGAAGGCTGGAAGGAGACAGGGGTCTGGACCAGGGGAATGTTGTATAGTGTCAGATTCCAGAGATGTGTGGGCCAGAGGGGGTCTAAACGTGCTCCATTCATCCACTCATTCACTCATTCACAGCCCTGGGTCCCTGCGGCCCCCCACCCCATCCTCTTGGATGTCTCTATCTGACATCCTGCTGGGATGTGGGCTAAGAACGGCATGAACTCAGGGTGCTCGAATCTCCCCTCTGCATACAGAAGCAGGCTCAGAGAGGGGGGATGCACACCGCTGTGCCCAAGAGCACACTGCCGGGAGGTGCAGAGCCGGGATTTGAACCCCATCCTCTCCCCGTCCTGCTCCCTGAGCCAGGAGGGCCTGGGGTGCCCCAGTGGTGACGGGAGCTGGGGAGCCGGGTCCCTGCACTTGTCTCCCGCCACTTCCTACCAACAACTGCTCAATCAGCACACACTCCCTTTCCCATCCTTGCGCTCAGGGAGCCTAGGGGTGGGAGGCAGGAGAGTCCTGGGTTCGGGTTTGGCTTCTGAATTTGCTGTGTAACCTGGACAAGTCTCTTCCCTCCCTGAGTCGCTCTCGATCTCCCCGCACAAGGAGGCAGAAAGACTTGATGTGAAGTGGGCCAGGAGTGCCTCCCTCTGCCTCAGTTTCCTTTTCTGGAAATCAGAGGTGATGACCCCCCAAGGACCCTCCTGTTGGGTTAAACTTTGTTGCACACACCAGGCCTGGGTCCCTCCTAGTGGCTTGCAGACAGGGCTGCTATTCGATCATTTTTATTACCTTTCTCTCCTCCTGAGGCTCGCAGGTTCAGTCACCAGCCCAGTGCTGCACAGATACACGGTGGCCTTCTCAAGTCACCTCCCTGCACTCCCTCCAAGCCTGTCCTGCTGTGGGCCTGGGTCCTGGAAAGCACCTCCCATTCCTAGTCCCTCCCGCCTACAGGGGATTGAGGACCGAAGCCACCCAGCACGGTGACTCAGGGTGGGTCGATACCACCCAGGCCCCCCTCCCCAGCTTGTCTCTGACTCCAGGAAGGCTGCAGCTTGGTTGTGGGGGGCAGTCCTGGGGGTTTGCCACACCTGCCCACCTGCCACCAGAACTGCTAGAGAACGGCTGAAGATTTTGTTACCGGGAGAGGCTCCTGTTCACCGATGGATGGTGCAGAGCTAACCAGTTGGAAGGGCTGGGCCTCTTTGCCATCGCTAGCCCAGGGAGGGTCTGCAGCCCACAGGGCAGGTGTTGGGACCCATCCTCAGGTATGCTTTTCTCTCTGGGCCTCAGTTTCCCCAGATCTCAAATGTGAGGGGGTGCAGGGACAGGGGTGGGGTTTCTGGTTGAGCTAGTCTGTGGTAGGATCAGGGTTCTGGGGTTCACTGTGAGGCCTGGGCAAGTGCTTCCCCTGGCTGAGACCCCCCTCACCTGCAGAAGTATCTACAAGAGAACAATAATCAATGCCTACCTCATGGATTCCAGGGCCTGTTCTGGGCTCTTTGCAAAGAGTTACCTGTGAAATACTGTTTATGCCCCCGGACCACCAAAGAGACAGAGTCACAGAGAGGTGTGAACGCTTGTCTGAAGTCACACAGCAGGATTTGGACTGGACCCAGCAGCTCCAGATTAGTGTCCCGCATTGGTTAGCACAGAGCCCTCCATGACCCTTCCTCCCTGCGTCTCTGGGCCCCGTGGGGACAAGGAACATCTGCTGAGTAGCTGCTGGAGGCTGCTCTTCATGACAGCTGAAGTTGGGGCTCGGGGGCCTGCTGGGCTGTGATGCTGCGGCCCAGGCTTCCTGGAATCGGTGATGGGGTGACACGTTTCCTGCAGTCTGCCTCGCCTGTCAGACTGTGGGGCCGTGTCATGGCTGCCCTGGGCACAGAGTGGGGCTCACTGATGTTTGCTGGGAGAACACAGCTGAGATGGGCCTTGTGGGGGTGTCGTGGCCCCTCTGTGCCCCCCCTTCCCCATCTGGACGATAGGACTCTAGCCCCACCATGCTCCAGGGGTGCATGGAGGTGTTGGAGGCTTGGGGTCTCTTTCTGGCACCCCCTCTCCCCTGCTTGCTGTTGTACCAGCCCAGCCCCCAGCCCAGTTTGGGCCACGGTGAGACATTTCCGGAAACTGGGAGGCTGGGAGGCTCGTGGACAATCAATAACCTAATAAGGCTCCAGGCGTCCGCCGGCTCCGGGTGGGTCCTGGCGACATGTTATCTGGTTGGCTTCTCACAAACTGGGACTGCACGGGGAAGTGGTGGGCCTCGGGCTCCAGAAGAGGAAACTGAGGCTGGGGGGTTGAGGATAGAGGAGGCAGTGACGGCCGGGGCAGGCAGAGCCCAGCGGCAGCTGCAGGAGGGGCTGGCTCTGCGCCTCCCGGGTCCCTCCATCGGTGAGTGGCGTGGCTGGTGCCTTCTCCCTGCCGGGTCACTGTCCAGCACCCAGTAGGTGCTCAATAAAGGCTCGTGCATGAAACGAGGCAGCCGCCCCTCGCGGCTGGGCAGGGAGGACGCCACTGAGCAGCGACCACGCATCTGAGCTGTGTGGCCCCGACTGCGGACCGGGGTGGCGGAGGGACCCGCCTGCGGGGTGCGGAGGGGCCGCGGCGGGGTTCCTCGCCGACCCCCAGCGGGGGGTCTGCGGCCCCGCTCA